GTGCTCCTAAATAACAAATATAGGACAAAGCGAAGCTTTGCGCAGGAAGGCTGCAGGGTGCATTTGTCTGAGATGGAAGAGAGCCAGGGTTTTTCACAGCCCCTGGCTTTCCAGGGACATGGTAGGCTGAGGCTTTGGCTGTAACTCTTCCGAGAAGAGTTTCCCAGATTGCTGGCAGCTGCAGTTTCCTCAGAAGCCATGTTCCACTCTGTTTTCCTTAAACGTGCTACTGAGGTCAAGGGATGATGCAGCAGCCCCAGTTTGCATACCAAAACGCCTTTTTCTCCTGACCATTTGTAGTTTTCCGGGAGAGAAAGAAACACACACGGAAGGGAGAACAGTAAGATCTCAAATCCCAAAGGCAAATAACTCCTGCTCTCCTGCCCAAATGGACTGCGTAAGACCTGATTTCTGAGAGGTCTGTCTTGTATTTTGAACACTGGGACCAACAGCACTGTGATCAGGACACAGTGTCACCAGCCCCTATGTCTTCCCCTGGTAGCCCCCCCTAAGGCAGTAGCCCCAGCCCACAGAAGAGCCTCCCACGGCTGTGGGGACTTCCAGTACTGCTCACTGCTCCTGTATTTTGCTTTCTGCAGTTACATACAGCCTTCGCTGGGCAGGGATAACCTAGTGCAATGCTGACTGATGAACGCAGGGTTTGTTGCTGTTGCCTGTGGTCCTGCAGAATGGAGCTGCTGGGCTGCTGTGGGATCCACAGAGGCTGAGGGAGAGCAGCCCGGCTCCCAGCACACCCTAATCCAGCTGCAGCTCCTCCAGCGAGACCCAGTTTCTCCCTTAGGACCAGCCACATCCTTACACTACAGCCACTGCAGACCCAAATGGACATTTTGGGGATCCCCCTCACTCCAACCCTTTAACTCTGTGCAACTCCGATCTGCTCCCCGGGCCAAAGCCCTTCACAGAGAGGCACCTGCAGGCACTTGGTGAGCTCCCATGTCTGTCTCCCTCCTTACCTGACACGTTCAGCTGCCCGCCCAGGAACCAGGAGACCCTGCCCTGGCGCAGGTTGCAGTCCTGGACAGAGTGGAAGGGGGTGATCCAGGTGTGTTGACAGAGAGGCACCGGCGGGCAGTTGGTGTGCTCCCATGTCCGTCTCCCTCCTTACCTGACACGTTCAGCTGCCCGCCCAGGAACCAGGAGACCCTGCCCTGGCGCAGGTTGCAGTCCTGGACAGAGTGGAAGGGGGTGATCCAGGTGAGCCGGCTCCTCCCTAGCTCTCCCCAGAAGGTGTCCCCCTGCTCCACTGACACCTTGTACAAGTCTTGGTGGTCCTTGGGTCTGGGGAAGGCGATGGCTTCAGGCATGTAGGCGGTGAGGGGCCTGTGGCTCCGGGCTCGGGCAGCCGCTGACCCAGGGGGGTATCTGGGAGCCTGAGGAAGAGTTTTGGGGCAGCAAGCCCTGGTCAGCAGCCTTGCCATCATCGCAGGGCACCTGCCTCTCACCAAGAAGATGGGTGCCTGGAGCCTTTGCAGCCGTTCAGGACACCCTTCCTGGGCAAGATGGGCCCCTGTGGGAGCTGGGGCTACATCGGCCTGGGCTGACTGGACACAAAGCAGCTCTCTTGCGCAGGGAGCCTGGGCACCCCCCTTCTCCCCTGCCTCGTTCCTCTCCTCCTGTCTTCCAGAGCACTACAGGGCAAGAGAAATTCAATCCCTTTAAGGGAGGGGAAAGGGGTGGGCTGTAGAAATATTTGACTGAAAATAACCTTCATGCTAATCTGAGTCCTGACGGCCGCTCTTGAACGGGAGCCAGGTTCAGCGGGTGCCTGGTCTCCCCACGGAGGCTGAAGTGCCCAGGCCAGGCTCTACCAGCTGCTCCCGCTCTCCCAGGGCTGCGCTGCTCCAGGACTCCGCTGGCCTCCCTCCCATCTCCCTCTACTCATCCCCATCCGCTGGCTCCCCCCAGCCCCTCCGCTGCAGCCCCCGATCCTCCGCTGGCCACGAGGGCAGCCTGGGGCAGCTCACGGGTAAAAGTTAGGGTCCCCTCCATGCTAGCCCTGGGTGACGGGACCATCCCCTTCCCAGAATTAAGGCCCATTCCCTGCAGAGCACTAGGCTGTGCTGTCTCCAGCCAGGGGCCGGGGAAGGTTTTTCTCCTGAGGCTGTCTGCTGCAGGAGGGGGATATCGCTTCCCATCCCACCTCACTGCTGGGTGGCTATCAGAGCTGCCCCCTTCGGCAAGCTGGGCTGGGTTCTCTGCCTCCTCCCAAACACTTCAGACTGGTCTGTACCACATGGTGGACTGGGAGCACTCAACGAGGTGGAGCAGGAGGTAGTGGTTTGGCATGAAACACTGCAGCCCATCTCCTCATGCTGAGACCTCCCACCACCCACTGTAGCAGAGCTATGCTGCCTCCCTGCCTCCAGGTTTTTTTCTGCCTTCCTTTCCTTCAGGCCCTATATAGGTAGTGTTTTTTGAGGCAGAGCTTGGAGGTTTCCTTAATTTCATTGACCATGTTCACCTCCCTTCCTAAGGGGCACAAGAGAAGAGCAGAAAAAAGCTTTCCCTGCCAGCAGGGCTGTTCTCAGCCAGGCATGCCGATGGGATCAACAGCAGAGATGAGAGCGTTAGCAGATCTCCTCTTTGCTCTTCACAGTGCAAAGCACTCATGGTCTGCAGGGCTGGTATGTTTGGTGAACAGGCTGGACACCAGTATGGGAGACAGGCATTATTTGACAGCAGGTGCACTCATCCCAGACCACACACCTGATTTGTATATCAGACCTGGCCCCCAGAGCTAGGTGAGGACCTTCGAGGGCTCTGTCCCCCTGGGGAAATGCAGTCCTGTGGGCTTACAGCCCCTCCACAAAGTCAAGTCCAAGCAGCCTTGTCATTCCAGAAGCAAAGTCTCTCATTTCCTATGCACACCTGCTCTGCCTCAGCCTTTTTCCTCTGTAAGACACCAGGTTTTTCCATCAGACCATCCCCAGATGTCCTTAGCAGGGTGGGCAAATCTCAGCTCCTTCTCTCAGTATGGGCTCCTGCTGCTCTCAAATCGGAGCTCGCCTTGCTGGAAATCCCTGTTGGTGCTCTTCCCTCTCAACAAGCTCCCTTGCACTTGCAGCATCTGACTGCCGTCTCCGCTCCTCAGGCCAGCTGGGCCCTCCAGCCTGCTCCTGGCAGAGAGGCTGAGCCTGCCCAAAGGTCTGCCCGGCTCTCTAATGCCAGGGTACGTGTTATATGGGGTGACCCAAAGTACCTGGTCTGGATGCTGAAGTGACTTGATCTCTGACCAGCTGTATGCCATGATACCTAACTTCTGCCCCAGGTATAAGCACATCCCTTTCAGCTTCATCTTTCACCGCAAAGGGAGAGAAGCACCCAAGCCCCATCTTCTCCATGCCTGGGTGGGGAGAAAAGTGCAGACCTCTCTCTGTGCCCCTTTGGAGCTCCCAATTCTCTCTGGCTACAGCCTGACATCCAACCCCCTCTCAGCTTTGGCTGAATTCACCTTCCTTGAACATCAGTGACCGGACTCATACACAGTATTCCTGTTTAGTTTTATTCTTGTTCATATCTTTACAGAAAATGGCACATAAATCACAGATGCTGGATGACTAGAAGTTGTTACAGCTCCATATCTCAAACACTTCAACACTGAATTCTTTTGTCACTGTATATACATTATTTACAGACCATGGGCTATCATCTAACACAGCAAACGACCAGGGGACAAAGACAAACAGGGGATGGATGGAGGGGCTTAACCTTTGACGGAAGAAAAACAGTAGCTCTGGGGAAAGGGTGCTCACAGCTGAAAGCAGGACAGAAAGTGTCGCCCTGGAAGTCACTGTCCTATGGCTTTCGGGGTGGAATAGCGCCTTACCGGGATGGGAAGGTGATGGTACCACGGAGTGGGTTAGGCTGTGTGGGTCTGCGTGTGCTCGTGTGGGGCCAGCTGGGAGATGTATGTACACATTACAGGCTGTATGGGGGTGGATGCGCATGGCTGTCATTCCCTTTAACACTCAGAGGGCGAGCTGGACAAATTTAACTCAATAAATACACTGGGCGGATGTTGTTGTCTCGCCTGGAATAATGTATTCAGTAAATAAATTCACCGTTCAGCCCCTCCACAGGGGTGCAGGGCTTTGGCGTTTGGGGCAGAGTCAGACCCGGCTGTGGTGACCAGCCCTGCGGGAGCCAGCGACATGGGCTGGGGTCACCTCAAGGTTCCAGGTGGGACCAGGGTGTTGTGCCCGTGGGCTAAACCTGCCTCTCCCTGCTAAATGGAGGCAAAACTCAACTGCTCTAAAGCTGTAGCCTCTTCCCAGCAGCCCCTAGCACCAGGCGGGGAGAGACGGGTGGAAGGTGCAAACCACCCTGGACAGAGAGTTGCCATTTCATGCAAATACTGCCATGGGCTTATCCTCCTGCGGCCTGGGCCAGAGGCAGAGGTGACGACCGGGGGAAGGTGTCGGGTCTGCCTGGGGCACGGCGGGATGGGGTGCCAGGGGAAGGGGCTCTGGCAGCACTGAGGAAGAGACATGCACCAACATGCACCAAGGAGGGGCATGGCGGCAGGGGACAGGTTTGCTCCAAGGTGGCGGATGGGATCTGGGGCTGGAGAGGGAGGAGAGAGCCCCAGAGCTGGTCGCGAGGCTGGAGGGA